GTTGCTCACTGGGTGTCTTTGACCTTGAGATCCGTAGCTTGTGTTCCCTTGTGTTCTCTTCAAGGGCAGAGGTGAACCGAGTCTCCAGGTCTGTAAGGACTTGTTGCTGGGGGATTGGGCACAGGGATGCTCACATCTCTGTGTCTTCAATGACAATTGTACCGTCAGCACCGTAAAGAGCTCCTCTTTGTCTCGTTCAAGGCTTCCTTCCTTGGATTCTGACTGATGGAACACTGCAGTCCCGTCTCCCGTTTTGTCTGCATTTGCCTGATGTTTTTACACCCATCCTCTCCCCTCTCCTGTTTAATCTTTCTCACGTTGTTTTGCTTGTTTTTTTTGTTTGTTTGTTTTTTTGTTTTACACTGGAACAGAACCCAGGGGGGCTCTACCACTGAGCCACTCGCCAGCCCTTTTTATTTTTCACTTTCAGACAGGGTCTCACTAAGTTGCTTCGGTCCTCACTAAGATGCTGAGGCTGGCCTCGAACTTTTGATCCTCCTGCCTCAGCCTCCTGAGTCACAGGGATCACAGGCGTGGACCACTGTGCTTAGCTTACTATATTTCTTCTTTGGAGGACTCCAATTATGTGTGTGTTGGCTCACCTTTGTCTGTCTCCTTTCTAATCTCTCTGGTGCTTTCTTACTTCTGTCTCTTTTTCTTGTTTCTAGAACTGTGCCCCCTCACTGTATTCTCCACAGGGGCTGTTCCTTCGTGTTCCCTCCAGCGTGGTCTTAATTGCTGTGACTTTCCCCTTTCTACCTCTCTCTCATGTTCAACCCCCTCTTGCTCATCACCTCCGTGTTTTCTGAGTTCCTGGATTGTGGCTCCCTTACCTTCCGTCATGGAGGTGACTGTCGTTTCGGATTTTCTCCTTTAAACTTCATGCCAACATGATTTGGATTCACTTTGTGTGAACATTTTCTCATCGGGTGGTAGATTTTTCTGCATATTTTATTATAACATTTGCGTTTTTACACTCATTGTTTCCATCCTGTCCTAGAAGGGTTGAGTTCCCTGGGTCTGTGCCAATGTCTTGGCTGGGCACAGAATCACGAGCCACTTACACCTTGTAGATTCAAACAGCAATTCTTTATTCCCCAACTCACACCGGCCTCTACACACGTTCTGGGGAAATCCGAGTTCTGCCCGCACAATTCACGTCCCAAAACTTTCTGAATTCCACGAGAACTCAACGGGAACTCAGGCAGCAGGAACGCCCTACTCCCACCAGGAATAACCTTCAACCTGCAACTTCCCTAAACCCTGATTATCTTAAACCGGGAACGCCCTAAACCCAAATTGTCTTAAACCCAGATACTTCCTAAAACCTGCAGGATACACCCTAATCCTGGATCCACCCTGGTCCTTGAGCAGGGTCACCTTTCTCAAAGACACATGCAATGTCCAAGGCAAGTCCATTTAACATGGGGTACGCTGGCAAGGAAATTTCGATGTGTCGTTCCTACTTGGCAATGGCCCTCAGCAGGTCTGTTCTTTCCTGGCTGCTCCCGTGGGTGGGAGGACTCAGAGCCTTTTCCTGGGCTTCATACCAGCAAGTCTCTCCTCTGCCACAAGGACAGAGGGCTTCCTGCCAACATGTCTTCTCTAAAGCTCTGTTTCTCTGAACCCAGCCAGCTCTGGGGGGCCTTCTCCCCCTCTCCCCAGGTCCCCAAACTCGTTTTCTAAGCACGGACTCCAGCTCTCACCTGGGTCAAGGCGAGGGTAGTTTTGCTGACTCCCGCTGAGATCTGTCACCTGCTCCCGCCTGGGCTCTGCCTTCTCTCAGCAGCTTCTAGGAAACATCACTCAGGCTCTGAAGCCTGTGGATTCCATCTCTCTCCTGCTCTTGCTGGAACTGGAGCTTCTGGTTTTGTTTGTTCCCTCGTTCTTCTTGGTGCTTTAAGGGAATTTCCAAAAGAAGGGAAGATGTCACAGAGGCAGCCGTTTCCCCACCCCCATGGTCTCACTGAGTCCTCTTTGGCAACTCTGGGACATGAGCAGAGCCACTGTTTGTTGTCACCATTTCCTTTTTTTTTTTTATACTGGGGATTGAACTCAGGGGCACTCAACCACTGAGACACATTCCAGCCCTACTTTGTATTTTATTTAGAGATGGAGACTCAGTGAGTTGCTAAGCACCTTGCTTTTGCTGAGGCTGGCTTTGAACTCACAATCCTCCTGTCTCAGCCTCCCGAGCTGCTGGGATCACAGGTGTGCGCGACTGAACCCTGCTGTTGCCCCATTTTCGATATGAGCAAACAGAGGGGCTGTGGCTCTCCAGGTCTGTCTGGGTGGGGGATCCACATGGCTCTCTTTTCTTCTTGACCTCCGCAGGGGCCTGGCTCCCGGGCGGAACAGCAGGGAGCTGAGGGGGTGAGGGCTGCCTGGATCACTTTTTCCAGTGCAAGGTGCCCAGACAGCGGGTCGGGGCCATGGCGGCCTATGCACTGGTCTTGGGGAAGCCAAAGGAGGCAAGGCCACCTGGAGCCTCTCCTCTAGTGCCCTCCCCCTCTGGCCTCTAGCCTGGAAGAGGGTGGCCACTCCCCAGAATCCTCTCCCAGCCCCAGATGGCACCTGTGTGGAATCATCCTGAGGAGGCCGAACAAAGGGCCGTCCGTCCAGCCCCTGTGCGTCTGCAGCTGCCCCGGCCTCTGGGCTTTCTGCCCAACACATTCCCTTCGTAATCCCAGCTCTCCTGGGGAGAGGACACTGCAGGGCAGCTTCGTGACGGCTGACGTCCTTCAGGTCTCTCAATACATGGACGGGCCCCATCCACAGAGGCGGCTGGCAGCAGGACCAGGATACAGGAAGGGCCAGTCTCCCATCGCGCTGCCTCTGGTCTTCCCTTTCTCCTTTGAAATTCCCAGTGAGACGCTGCTGAACACACGGTGTGTCCCTGTCATTAAGTGCTTGTTATGGGAGGTGAGGTGTCCCCCAGAAGCTCACGTGTGAGACACGCAAGAAGGTTCGGAGGAGGAATGGGGGGCTGTGCGGGCCTCAACCCAGCCAGGGAGCTGATCCCCTCCTGGGGGCTAACTGGGTGGTGAGGGAGTGGGGTGTGGCTGGGAGGTGGGGATCAGGGCGCAGCTTTGGGGCACATATCTGTATCTGGCAAGTGGCCGCTCTCTGCCTCCTGGCCACCGCGATGTGAGCTGCTTTCCTGGGTCACTCTCTCCGGCCATGATGCTGAGCCTCACCTTGAGCCCCGAGGAATGGAGCCGGCCCGCTGTGGACTGAGACCTCTGGAACCTGAGCCCTCAAAGAAGCTTCTCCTCCTCCACAGTTGTTCTGGTTGGATCCTCCAGTCACAGCAGCGACAAAGCTGACAACACAGTGCTTGTGGCCTGTCGAGACACGTCCCCTCTGTGGGAGGGGAGCCCTGGATTACCCTGCCCAGATGGGAAACCCGGGTAGAAAACAGTCTGCCGTGTGCGTAAGCCATACAGAGAACATCCCAACAGAAAGGACCACGGCGTGTGATCGGCTTGACGTGACTGTGACCATCTTGAGTCCTAACCACTGTCCTAACCACCGTCACTGCCCCGGGTTGTTTTCCCTGAATAGTTTCCCCGCACAAAACCATCAGAGTGGAATGTGGACACCTGTCATCCACCCGGTGCCAGGCTGATGTTAGCTTCAGATGACCAGCTCCATTCTGTTTGAATGAGTCACTTCCATCTTAACTAATGCACAGCCCTCCCTTTGACCCCGACGGTGCAGATCCACCTGTTCTCACTGCCGCCCAGTGGGTAACTCTCCCAAGAGATGGCACTCTGCAGTTTGCAATCTGCCTGCCTCTTTCTTGGGTCCTGGGGCACGTTGGGGGCTTTCCTCCTACAGAGAACCGTGGGTTGCTCCACAGCACACGGGTCCTGGCACAGCTAGATTTCAGGGCAATCATCAGACGTGTGTGGTTGGCCTATTCATGTTCTAAAATCATTTGAGACGTGGTTTCTTGCTTCCCGTGAGCCTGGAGTCTCGCCCTGCTGGGCCTGTATATCTGTGTGCATACAGTTGGCCGCTTCCTTTTGTAAGGAACAGCATGTTCCGGTTTTCCCCTGTCCTCACCCCTCCCTATCGCCTCCCCAAATGACTGGCTTGCTTCATGCTTGGAAATACTTGCTGGGAGCACTGATATTAGCTTGAGATAAACCAGACACATTCCAGCTTGGAGGAAGTCTCTTTTGTTCTACCCCAGCGTTACCCTATCCTTGGTGGATGCGTTGAATTTGCCACCCTCTTTAAAAGCACAAAGCTACAGAGACTTTGCCAGTTTGGTCCCTGTTTCCTCTCCACCCAGTTGCCCTCCAGCAGGAGGAAGCCGCAGCAGGGATTCCGGCTCTTGTTTCAGAGGCCACTGCACTTCCAGCTGCAGCCGCCACGGGAAGGCCCCTCTCAGATGTCCCGTGCAGGAGCTTGACTGACAGCTGGACCCTGGGGTGGGCAGAGGCCCTGCTTTCCCGGGTTTGCTCCCAGCTCTCGCCCAGGGGTGCAGGGAGGGGAAGCCGGCCACTCTGCCCGCTCCTGGGCTGGAGCCACGCCCCCATCCCTCTCCCCAGCTGGAGCCACGCCTCCATCCTCTCCGGCCTCATTTCCCTACCTCCTTTCTTTCCATTTTTTCCATCTCTTTCTCTCAGCTTCCTCTGGCTCCCTCCTCATTTCCCTCCCAGAAATGTCACATCTTGGTGACTCAGAAGACCAGGGTAACATCCCTCCCCATAACAGATTTGCCAGAACCAAAAGGGCAGAGGGGCTTCCAGAGAGGTGTTGGCAGTTCATGCCCTGGCTGATCAGAGGAAGCACTCTGTGACCTTGCATAAGTTACTGACCCTCTCTGGACCTCGGTTTTCCCATCTGCAGTTGGGAATAATGATAGTCTCTGTTTTATAGGATCCCTGTGGGGAGTAAATGAGGTTTTAAGGAAAAGAGTTTCAAATGACCTTAATTACTGTTTTAGTCAGTTTTTGTGTCATTGTGAGCAAAACACCTGACAAGAACAATTTAGAGAGGGAAACATTTATTTATTTGGGGTTTATGGTTTCAGAGTCTCAGTCCATAGAGGGACAACACTTGGCCCCCAGGGAAAAGCTGTCCCTTATGGCAGTGAGGAAGCAGAGCGGAAGTCACGTCCCACCTGCTGACAGTCACCATCCAGAGGGGTCATTCACACTTGGATGGACCGGTCAGGTCACGAGACTCACAATGGAGGCATTTCACCTCCGCACGCCTGTTAACGGGGTCCGGGGACACCTCCTATCCAAACCCTAACAATCACCTCCTCAAGCGAGAGCTACAGTTACCCCACACTGAAGACTGCCCTCTCTGACGGGACCGTGTCACCCCCATGTCCTCCTTTCTCCACACCATGTGTTCCTCGTCGTCAGGATGCGGACACACAGGCCCCGGAGACAGAAAGCGGGGTGTAGGCGCCCAGGGGGGCCCTTCCGGGCACACTCCATGTTCTGACGGCGTCCTCCTGACCCTGTCCTCCTGACCCTGTGACAGCCACGTAAGTCAGCGGAAGCTGGGTGGAAAGGGACACTTGCGCAGATGTCTTGTTTCTGGGGACAGCAGCCATCTGGCCACACTGGGACTCCTCCAGCAGAAGGTCCTGCTGCTTGGCACAGCAGTTTCCTGGGAGGTGGACGAGCCCGTGGCTTCCACTTCCCAGATGAAGCCTTGGATGCCAAGGTCAGCCTGTGGGCAAGCCCCGAGATCACCAGCCACGTGCCCATGTCACAGAGGCGGAGGTCAAGGCTCCGAGAGGTGAAGTGACTTGCCCAGGACTGTGTGTGACGTGAGGGACTCTGGGGTGGGCACGTGGCGCTCAGGTCCTGTCCTCCAGCTCTGCTGTGGCGGGCCAGCAGTGACCCTTGGGGCAGCCCTCACTCCTCTTTGCCCTTGAGGCCACATCCGCCCAGGCCTGGGCAGGGTCCTCCCAGTCCTGGGGGGGGGGTTTGAACTCCGGCTGCTTTTCAGGGCCGCCGTTCTCGCCAGAAGGCACAGCCAGATCTGAGTTTCCCTGCTCAGAGTTCTTACGGGGCGAGTCCTGCACGAGGTGCTTTGGATGCCCGATTAGCTCAGTCCTCCCTACGGCCAGCACAGAGGTCGTCTTAGGAACGGAGAGAGAGTCTGACTCACCATGAGCCGACGTTCCATCATCTCATGGAACAAGTCTGGGTGGGGCTTCCAGGGGTGGCGGTTCTGCAGCTCCGGTTTGGAACTTCGCAACATCCCTGGCCTTCCACGCCCCCATCTTGTCCTTTCACAATGGTCCCCAAAGTCCAGGGGAGGCAAATAGAAACATTTCCAGAAACCTACACATATTTCCGGAAGGTGTCCACCTCTGGACCAATCCCTGGCACACAGGGTACCCCTGGACTGGCGCAGCCCAACTGTGGGGACAGCCAGGCGGCCTCCCTAACGCCGGCTCTGAACCAGTCGGGCTCTGTGGGTGAGGGGCACAGCCTTCTCTCTCTGGTGTGAGCAGCTCTGGATGCTTCCCAGGGAGTTTGCCCCAAGTGCAGGTGGGAAGCGGGTATCCAGGGAGACTGATGGCCGGGACTGACGGAGCCGGGGTGGCCGTCAAAGAGCTGACCTTCTTCAGTCACCCACAGTGTGCCCGCCCTGTGCTGGGTGAATCATTCTCTCTCATTTAACACCCCCCCAGCCCTGTGCGGAAGGCACTGTTCTTCCTACTGAGACAGGACCCTGGCCATGTTGACCCACACCTGGCTCTTGGACAGGTGTGTCACCTGGATCAGGTCACTGCTCCACCTTGACCCCATGAGGTTCTCTTCTCCATCGCATCAGCCGGGAGCCCCAGCTGAGAGATGGAGCAGACCGCCCAGGGTCCCCTGGCCGGGCGCTGGCTGAGGCGCCGTGAAGCGCACTGAGGGAGGCCGCAGGTTTGGAAGACCCTCCCGGCCCCACGCAGCCTTCTTGGAGCCGTTGGCTTCCTCCTCCTTCTGTTGTGGGTCTGCTGAGGCCACGTGAAGCTCACCTGGCTCCCTGACGTCTAGTAAAGGAATCTCCAGCAGGACAGTGGGACACACAGGTGTCACCCCCACCCTGGTCCAACGGGTTAAAGCAGCAGAGTGATGGTGACTGCTTTAGGGCCACGGTCATGAGCAGAGACGAGGTGGGGGGGCATGACAAAAAGGGTGAGGTGTGCATCTCCCTGGGAAGAGCTTCAGGGCGAGGGAACAGCAGGTGCCAAGGCAGCTGGCACCTCTGGGAGGGACAGAGAGATCAGTGTGACTGCTGCAGAGTGTAGGGGAGAGCAGGGCTGGAGCGGGGAGGAGCAGGTGGGCTGGGAGGATCTGGGGGTCCTGGGGGGCCTTGTAAAGACGTGCCTTGCCCTGGGTGAGGAGTGCCGTGGCGAGCAGGTCTTCTGACTTCTGTGGGAAGCCTGGACTGCAGGGAGATGAGGGTGGCGCTGGACACCAAACTTGCCCAAACCTTGCCTGAGCCAGCAGCGAGGCACAGGACCCAGCCAGAGCACCTTGGCCCGTCTTTTCACGGAACTTACCTGCACCGACCCTGGGCAGTTGGTACTTCCTTTTTAGTGACAAGGTGGTCACTTCCTCACAACCCCCTGCGGAAAGTACGTCTCTACCTGGCAGCTGGACTGCCCTAAGCTACCTGCTCCGGGCTCCTTGGGGTGGAAATGGGAAGGGGGACAGCGGGAGCTTCTGGGGAGCCAACCTGCAGCCAGGCCCAGGTTTGCTCCCTGCAAACGGGAAGCCCAGGTCCTCTGGGCACCCGGGGAGGTCCCTTGCAGAGACACAGGTGGGGGGTGGGGGGGTGCTGGCACCCTGGGCACCAGCGGCCACGGCATTCTGAGGCCCTAAAAGCTCGGGAACAGGTCGGTGCTCTGCACGGACTGCCCCGGTG